TTTTTCTTTCCATCAATGTGAAGAATCCATTTTAGAATCCAGAATTGACTGAATGTATCATTGAACTGGCCCCTAACCTATGATGGTTCACGGGTGGCAGTTGCAGTGACTGGCTTTCTATCCTGCTACCTCTTTGCAGCACAGTCAGCAGTGGCAGACTCTCTATTGACTTGGAGAAGACACCCATGCATTATCTGCTCAGTTCTTGCCTTCTGCCCTGACTCACTACATTGCCATTATTATTTTTTTTATTATTGTTTTTATACCAAGTTTACAGATGTTGCCACCATTCACAATTCTATAGCAAGTGACACTGTTGTGTAACAGGGTCACATATTCTCAGTTATTATCTCCAATCCTATCATTGCATGAAATAAATTTATATTTTGACATAGTTTTTCTCCCATAGAAAGGAATTTCTATTTATTTTCATCCTTTATGCCCCTTTGTTCTATTTCTCATTTGTTCATTTATGTTTCATCTATTTTTTTTTCTTTAATTCTTAATCACTTCCTGCTTCTTTATTTCCCTTTCTCTTCCTTGCTTTTCTTTTTAACTTATTCTGCTTCCTCCATATTTTACTCTGTTTTCTCCACCTCTCATTGATTGTGTGATAGAAGTCTGGTGCCAGGTATCAACATTAAACATGTAAGCTTTGTCTGCTTCTGTATGTGTGAACAAAGAGATGATGAGAATTCTGTTTATGAACATGTATGTTTCAAATTCAATGTATGAATGGATATGCTCATTTATGTTTCTATACTGTTTACAATTTGTGTATTATTTATATACATACACATACACCAGATAATTTAAGTGTGGACTTTGAAAGTGTTTCGGAAGAACATTGTTAGTAAACAAAATTTAACTCCACACTAAAAAAAGAATAAAAAAACATGGATAATTTCACATTATCTATTTTTGTTTGAGATTTCAGCATTAAATATGATAAATTAAACATTTTCTTATAAGACATCTATGCTGAATTTAATTTATGTTGTATATCAAGATTTAAACTTTATTAAATTTGAATTTGATATGTGTGAGTTTTTTCATTAATATTCTTTCATTCCTTGGTGCATAAATAAATGTGCATATTTGTTTCTGTTTTATCAAAATCTTTATCAGATCATTTGTCAGTTTGTATATAATTTATACAGTATGTGAATATAAACAATTTTGATATTTGTTGAAATATTTTAAAAATAATTTGATGCAACCCAGTCAATGTAGATGTTAATGTCTAAAAAAATAAATCTTAATTTAGTCCTCATAATACTATTAAAAATGCATGTCATTTTTACTTCCTCATGGAATGTACATTTTGCCATAACAAAAGCAATAACTGCTTAGATGGTACTTGTTCTTTTGTCTAAAATCAGTCAACCCTCTGGTGGGTATTTGTTTTCTCTCTATTTCAATGTAAGATTAGTCAATTATTTCAGCTTGATCTTGATTTTTTTCACTGTTGTCTTGTAGTTTTCTTATTTCACTCCAGATATTTTCCCAAATTAATCTGTGTTTTTAACTTGTAAATATGTCTATTCTTTTTTTATCTGTCAGTGTATCTTTATCCCCCAAAGTATACTGTGAGTAATCTTATCTTTTAAAAAAAAAAACAGTGATTTATTTACTGAGTTACTGTTATAATTAATTTTAGCTTTTTAATGACATTTTAAAGGATCAAATCTTTTCAGTTACATTTGACTTGCTGTTCAGAAAATATAGACTTGAATTTTTATCTCTCTTATGTGCATACACTGACCTACAGTCATGTGTAGGTGCCTCACATCATGTAGGACTCCTTCTAACCTGGTAAAATGCAGCAACTTGATGTACCATCAGTTCCGCAAGTGGTCAGAAGACCTCTAGAGAGATGTTGAGCTATGCAATTTTGATAGCTGTTTATGTCTCCCTGATAATTATAGGTGCAGGATCTTGCATGCAAGTAAACCTCTTCACCACATCCATAAATGGTTGATTGGGCTCATGTTAGGCAAACATGGTAACCATACCATTTGTCAAGTCTTTGAATGCTTCTCAAACTAATTCTGGACAACTTGGGCCTGATGACACATTGTATTATTTGGCTGGAATAATCCATTGTTGTCTATGTACTATGAATGAGTGCAAATTGTCAAGAACCAGTGCACTATAGCAGTCATTGTCACTGACATGTTTAGGAGGATCAGTGAACATAAATGTGAACACATTTCCATACTATTATGGAACCATCACCAGCCAGCATGGTTCTTTGCTGACAACTATCATTCATGTCTCATGAAGTATGTGCTACACCTGAACTCTGTTATCAATCCAGAACAACTGGAACTGTGGCTGATCATCTCATGCTACACATTACTGACCCTTCAGGGACCAGTTAGCAATGTTACAATCCCATGTAAAGAACTGTGCATGGAGGGCATGGTATTAACCTAATGACTTTTCTACTCTCATATCTTATAAGGAAAGTAAAGAATGCTGAACTGACCTGCTGGTACCTTCCCACATTGAATATGAAATGTGATTTGAGCCAATGTTACTTGTCAGTTACCACAGACATATTTTGATTATGATCATTAAGAATCCATGGTCAGCCACTGTACTGTCTTTAGTGATCAATAATATTTTCCATCAAGTATCCCCAGTACACATTGTGACACAGTAGATAAAGAGATATCAATGTCCCATCCAGTTTGTACCCACTATCATGCCTACTTTGAACTCTAATAATTCACCTTGCCATAAGCAGCTTAGGTGATATTCATACTGACTCAGCAAATGTTGGGACAACTTTTATAGGTCGTTTTCATACTGTTATCCCATGACTTTTGGCTTGTCAGTGTACAGTGTATATAGACATACATAAAGGCATATTTTTCATTTTAAACTTCGTCATAGTATATTCCTTTGTTTAATTTTACAGAAAATTAATAATTTATATAACATTAAATGATATTAATATTACAAATGTGTTCTTTTAAGATTGGGAAAATACTTTTCAGATACTCTGTTTTGTGTGTGTATCTAACAGAAATATATTTCTGTTTTATTTTTTTTATTTTCTAATTATGCCTTTTTATTTTCAACACTTTTCACATCTTTTCATTATTTTTCTTTCTACTTTTCACTTGTAATAATTACTACTATCATTTTCATGATTTTTTTTTTTTTTTTTTACTTTTAACTATTTTTTACAATGTGTGATCTGAGAAAAACAAATGTTGAAGTGACTGCCTCAAGGTATACCATTCACTCTAAAATAAGGATTGTTATTCACTTTCTCCTATGTGAATTTATACCTTAGAAGTGATAGATTGACTATGCATTTACTATAAACATGTCTGTCTGTATATTTATAAACTTAGACTTATCAAGATAGATCAGTAAGTTCATAGTACCATTGAATTAAATGCATTGACAAAGGAGATTGTTGAAAAATAAATTTTTGTGAAATAAATTATTTTTTAAGCTATGGATTTATTGGTGCTCCTTTGTATGTATGTTACACAAACACACACACTTCAACTTTGAGATGGTGATTTGAATCTAATATAATTTAATGTGTCAGTGGTGTAAACTTAGTTAAAGCAAATCACAGCCATCAATTGTTATTCTTTTAATAAGCTTATACAACCCAATGTGAAACAAGTTAGTGATTTCAGCTTGAAACCTGTTTTCACTTATTGTGTACAGCCTAAAATATCATTTTGCTAAATATTTGATGAGATTACTCATTTTATGTTGGTTTCTGGTTTGATTAGTTTTTTGCTACTAAGAAGGTACACATTATTTTCAAGTATAACAATGTTTAATTCTCAAAATTGTGTAAAAAAAAAAAAAAAAAAAATTTTTTTTCATCATTTAAATTTATTTTTAAGAATACTTTATAAATGTATAGTAAATAAAATAGATGTTTATATCTATTACTTTTTTTTTTTTCAAAATCCTTTTTCTATGTTTTAGTTTTTATTTTTGTCTTCTTTATATGCAAAAATGAAATTGATCGATTGAACATTGTTCTTTTATCCTATACGTTAATGCACTTTAGCATGACCAAACTTTAACGTGATTGTCAAATTAAAAAAAAAAGCCTCTAGTCATTCATTTCATTTAGAGTGATATCATTACAGTTAGGTTATTATATATATAAAAAAGAAACATTCTCTCTACAATGCTTGTTTTTATATTCCTAACATCATTTATGGTTTAACAATGACAGTGTTGACAGTATTTTAATGTTGTAATTTCTTTGTATAGCTAATAATATTTAGCTTCCTTTGAATAAAGTGCCTATTGAAATCTAATGAATAAAATAGTTTCTTTCACTATATCTTGAGATTGGAAAAACAAATTCATCCTCTATTTTGGTGAGTTATTCACTTTTTTAATATTTAGTCATGTAATTTCATAATGACTCTAGTCTTGTCATCTACCTTGGATGTTTTTGACATTTTACTCTTGCATAATTAATGGTACTATTATAACAAAATGGTTCTATTCAGTGTGTAATGATCAATATTTTCTTTTTCTATATCTGTCACAGGTGCCAGCAGAATGTTATAACTAAAAGCTTCAACTTGGGCTGCTGGGCATCCCCAATTTCAACTTTCTTTTGACACCACTGACCTAAGCCACCTAGTGGCAACAGTAGTCATATCCTAACCACAACAACTCCTAAAAAGGAGGAGGTAAAGTAGGAAGACCAAAAAAAAAAACAAAGAAAAGGGGGACAGTGTCTTTAATTGACACTAATAAAATCTACAGTATCTCCCTAACCTATTCTGTGCGGTGCCGTGTCATGTCCACATGTGATCCCTGTTGAGGGCATCAGGACTCTTACATACACATACAACCACGGCAACTTATACAGCATTACCACAGAAATAGCAATGGCTTCACTGTGCAGTAATGATAGCAACAGTAGTGGGAGAGGAGAGTGCAACCCACCGCACAACTCGCCATCTTCCAGTCTAGATCCTGAGCCAAATCTGCTGGATATGCTCAACCATCCACAGCCTCATCAGCATGAAGATGATCCAGACCAAGAAGACAACTTTGATGCCATGAGTGACCCTGCCATGCTTGGTGAACTAGACAATATGTCTTTGGAAAGTGGCGATGACTATACAGATGCCGAAGATGACTTGTGCTTGCCTACTAAACAAGCAATGGCCAAATCTGAAGCAACCAAAATGCTACCCAGTACACCTGCACCTTTGACCACGGTAGGTATTTACCTTCTATTGTTGGTTCCACAGCAACAATTAATCAAAAGTTTTCTTCATTTTACTCTTTTTAGTGCATGATTTTTTTTTTTTTTTTTTTTTGCAGTTTGTATTGTAGTAAACAATATCGTTTTCCTGATTAGCAAAACAGATTAAAGTTCAAATATTACTATAATGTGAAAGAAAAATATTTATATATGGATTCATATCTGAGAGCAAAAGGGCAATTTACTTTAGCTATTGGTTGCTTTGTTTTTCTGATATTTACACAAATGAAAATTATAGTTAGCCCTGCTTGTAGATGATAATGAGTCATAAATTCATTGTCAAGTTTTACATTTTAAGTTGCACTGCAAATTCTCTATTGCTGTAATCTAGCAGAAAAATTCTTTTCTTTTTTTTTTTTTTTTTTTTTTTTTTAAACCCAGTATAAAGACATTTTCCTTTTGGTGGTTCATGTAATAATTATACATTTTATGATAATAATGTATGTGAATATATTTAGATGGCATATTTATGCTTTTTATCTGGATGATTTTATTAAATATTATAATAAGACAAGTGAAAATGTAATTATCATCTCACTTTGTTCATACTGGACACATTTGAATCAGAACCCTTTATGCAAGTAAACAAAAAAACACTTTCAAACAGCTCTGATTAAAGTTTTTTGTTTATTCTTTTTTTCTCTCCAACAAATTTAATTTTAAACAATCACACAAATTTCAATAAAATATTGTTAAAACCCATTAGATTATATATGATAGTTCACAATTACATTTATTATTTATTTGATCATTTTAGATGTGTGTGAACTATTTGGCACTTATTGGTATTCAGAGAATGCACTTTATTTTGTAGGAACAATAATGTATATATTAGCCATCAAAAGTTGAATACAGGAATAAAATTAGTAGCAGCAAAATATATAGATTTTAATTTCTTTAATACATATTGCTGACATCAGATTCAAAACAGATTTCTATATATTGACTGACTTGCTTTATTAGATTACCTTCAAAATTTCTAACATTAAAATCAGAATTTACAGATAACTTATGTCAGATGATCAGAGTTTATAATAGTTAAATTCAATTAGTTGCTGAGGAATGATCACTTTTTTGACAGGTACTAGAGTGATATTCAATTCTGTTGTATCCTTGGATTGGAAAGCTTTAATCAAGGAAAGAAAACTTTGCTCTTTCTTACAAATAAGTGCACCATTATGCAAATTGTCGCCAGACATCATTATACTCTTCTTCACTACACATATTAATAAAATCTTATAAATTATAAACCATAATGATTGTGTATTATTGTCATATTAACTGGAGAGGATAATATATTAGATATATAATGTAAAATATAACATCATAAAGTCAGATATTCTAACTAATGAGCACAGTAATAAGATACTATTCTGTATTTAAAAAATATATATGAGTATCTCAATTCCATCACTTTAAAATAGGAGATTCTCTAATTCATTCTTATATTTTTACTTTACATATGTATGAAAGCATACAGAAAAATATCTTTTTAGAGTTCCTGAGTTCACAGAAATTTTCACAAAGTCCATTTATGGAATAATACTAGTTGATTGAATCTAATGTTTTTTAGAAACAATACAAGGGTTATTATAATTATTTTTATTTGAATTAACTAATTTGATTTCACAATAAAATTTCAGAATTTGGATACTGTTGATATATTAACCTTACCGCTCATGAAGTGTTATGTGGAACAAAAGCAAACATGTTATTCAAACTCTCACAATATCTCTTGGCAGACATTTTTATAATGTACAGTTTATAATTTTTCATCTAATTTAAATTTAAGAATAGGTGAACTTAAAACAAGCTGATGTTGATGGTAATCACACTAAATATATTTACTAAAATGTAATATCCCTTCCTGCATCCACTTAGTATTTGACAAATTCCTGATAGATTTTCATCACTTCCCTTTAAAAGAATTTCAAATAATGTAAAATTCATTTAATTTTGTTCATCATGATTATGGATTTATTATCACAAGAAAATTGACAAAAAAATTTCTCAAAAATATTTGAAAAACAAACATTGTACTTTTATTTTGAACATATCCATCAACTTTACTGGTTAATGACACAAGAATTAATGTGTCCTATAAAAAAAATGAATTCAAAAGTCTAAACCTATTCTCTATAACGCTTCGGACATTTAGAGTGGACCTCTTTCAATAGCCAGTATTGAATTGTTAACACTTGTTTGTCTAACAGAAATTTAAACATCACTTGATGAAATGCATTATTTATCTTACAAAAATGAATTATTTTAGTATATGAAGACTGTATAAAATGCAATATTAACAAAGTTTTGCTATTAATTCTTGCCTAGTATTTTTTCATCTTATTTACTTTTCATCTTCTCGACTCCTCAGACCATCATTCTATATCAGTAAATGTGATGATAGCTAAAAATAAAAAGTTGATCATAACTTTATCTAAAAAAAAAAAAATTAACAGGTATTTTCCAAAAATGTCCTTTTACCTGATTTGTCTTTATTCCACAAAATGCCATTATATTAATATACACAGAAGAATATCTTATTTGAGTATCTCCTGGGTTCAAGTATAAAAATAGACAAACTAAGTATGGAGTATGAAATATTTGCCCTTCAAAACCAGTCACGTTTGTATTAATATAACTGGCTAAATTATCTATCTTTAAATGGAAAACTTATATTTTTAAAAAAAGTAATTTTACTTGAATATAAACCTTGTGTGCTATTTAGGATCATATTTTTGTCTCTAATGTTCTCACAAAATGTGAACAACACTGACCTTTTGTATATACTGGACCTACCATTAAATATCCCTGTTACATTTATGGTTTAATTTGTTAAAGTACTAATGAAAAATTTGTTAAAAATTTACTTCAGTTTAAGTGAGAATCAGTTAATACATATAGCTGCAGTCTCATGGGGTTTTTTTGCTTCAGAAAAGAATTCGATACTTACTTTTTCTAGCATTTGAAAGTTAGTATAATATTAAAACTCACATTTTGCTATCCTGAGAGATTTTAATTGTCTTTGTAATAACAGGCAATCCAAAATTTCTCAAGATGAAAATGTATAGTTACAGGCAACTGGTATTACTCAGAGTAAAAGTGTTATAAACAAATATTTGTATCACCTTTATTATGGGTATTTGTATACATACCAAAGACTTGAGTTGATTTCCTTTGAGTGTTTTTTTTTTTATTAGTGTTTCTTTCATATACCAGTGTTGTGACTCTTTTGCTATCCTGCCATTTTAATAACAGTCTAACCACCATTATCACAGTGTTATTTAAGATATTAACAAGTGTACTGAATTACATTGAATAGCTTGAGGGCAAGCAGCAGAAATCTTCTTTTGGTGAAAGCTTTTATCCACTGTGTTTGCAACTCTGAAAAATGGTGGAGTTGTAGCCTAGTTTGAGAAGTTAATCTTTTGTAGGATTCCCTTAACATTGTATTTTTTCTCCCACTCATGTTTGTAAAGTGGTTGAATCAATTTCAAGCCTGGGAGCAACTGTCTGTTATGGTGAGTTTGCAAACTTTAAAAATGCTATTTTATTGTCTCATATAGCTTGATCTCCCTTCTTCCAGTAATAATTTTTATGCAAGTTCATATATTATTTTGGTTTTAAAATCTGATATCAAACATTTAATCTTTAACTCAACTATTGTATCCTCTGTATAAATTGTCCATTTCTATTATTTATTTGTCGGGATTATTTTGCGAAGGTTATACATTCAAATATCCAGTTTATATTTAAAGAAATGGTTTTGTGTTTAATTTTTCTAATTTTTTTTAAAATACTGTAAAATCTCAAATTTTATATTAAAATATCTGAAGAATTTTTGTGTAATGTTATTGAGTCAAACTCTATTTCTGTAATTAACTTTGAAGTGTTGTGATACTTTAAAAAACAGCAACTTGTGTTACATTAGCTTCAAATTTAATCAGTGACATCATAAATATTTTTAACGTATTTGATGTGAACGAAGTTTTCAATGCCCATTACAATTATTTGTTTTATAGTGATATGTAATTATTTCATGATAATTATCCGCACACACACACACACACACACATTTGAATTTCCACTTTTCTAAATTGCTACTCTACCTGCATTCTTTATCCAATTTTTCTTGTTACATTACCTATGTATATATTAATGTGGTTGATACCAATGATATTGATTCCAGTTAAAAAATAATTTTTGTTTTATAAAAATAGCCATGAAATTTGAGGTCAGGTTTTAGACAAGTTTCTTTGAAGTCCATATTCTTACGGTTACATTTCATAATAATTTCATAATGTTTACTCATTTACACAGAAAATTAGAAGCATTGAACACAAGAGGATTTGAATTCATATACTCAAAATTTTAACTGTGATTTTCACTAGTTTTTATGTCCTTGTGGACACACTTGACTTACTCACTCTGGTCAGGCAAGTGCAGTTTGAGGCAAACTACATTATGTTCTTTTATGCCAGTTTATTGATTAATGCTTGTTGGTTCTCACTTGTATAACAATAGACACTTTCATTTAAAGACAAGTTAATAGGTCTTTGCATCCTGACATTTTCAAAGGACATTTCAATCAAGTAAATATTCTAGTCACTTTGTAAAACTAATGTTTTTACATGTAATTTAATTTTAACAGAAATTTAAGTAACTAATTTTTGTGACTTGTCAGCTTCTTGAACAGTTTTTGATGTAAGTCTATCTCAAAAGTAGAACAGGAAGATTAACAGTGTTAGTCTAAGGTTCCATTCCAGTGAACAAATTAATGCAATTTTTACATTAAAACAAAAAAATATTATTCAACAGATATTCTTTTAAAGTTCAGTTTTACACATGAAAAGAAAATTTAAATGAAGAAGATTAAAATTTTTACTTATAAAACCTATAATACTCAAGATATATATAATATATATACACTTGATTTGTATGTCAATATTATAGATGAGGTTTATTTTGTCATGTGAAAATGTGAGCAACTACTATCTGTTTTCTATCATAGAAAATTAGTCTACATCTAATCCATTATATTACTACAAAATAAGTATTTTTTTATTTGGGAGTCATTAATCTTTTTGGCATCATTCACTTAGTTTTTTTTATATAGTGCTTTGCCACTTTTGTAAAGTTATAATCATTTAAATGAAATCAGTTGATATGACAAAAAAGTATTCAAGATGGACAAGTTTTTACTATAGCTATCAGTGTAGAATCAGTTCAAAGATGGCAAATATCTCAGCCTATCATTTGCATAATTAAATCTATATAGACATTATTTTTCTCTATGCATATAGTCTAACAGTTTTACTGATGTAAAATTGTTATATATATATATATATATATATATAATATTGAAGTAAATTTCATTAAAAATATTGAAAAAATTTAGGCATGTATTCTTATAAAACATTACTAACATAACATTGCAATATAGAATAATTCTAAAGTGTTAAATTTTAAATTACTATCTAAGTCTTAAATATAAAATTTCATTAAAAATATTCTAGCACTTTCATAGAGATACAGCAAGACATAAAATACAAATATATTTAGTTGGTGAAAAGTTTTTATTGTATCTTTTTATTAGTTTTGACTAAAATATAATGATAGAAAGATTGTAGATGATAATGATGTGATGTGGTAGTTCTTACAGTCTAATTGGTTAAGATATCCATGAAAAATGATTTCTCATTTATAGTATGTAAATTTGAATATTACTCAAAGCTATTTCCTTATTCTAAATTCACACAGTTTAATGGATCAATTAAAAAAATAATAAAAAGCAAAGATGAAGGTACTATTCGAAATTAATATACATACATACATACAGGGTACGATGGATAAATTGTCATCTAAATTACTCAAAATTGAAAATAACACTGACATCTCATTTTAATATATTTACCAAAATTACACAAAGATATCTTGAAATACTAGAGTAAATTTATTCAATAAAATCGCCATTGGCTTCAACCATGGCCTCCAGACGACTTTGGGATTTCTGCAACTCTTTTGGACAGTCTCCTTGTTTAAGATGGTGAATGCTGCCATAATCCTTGCCTTTAGTTCATCTTTGGTGTTACAAGTTTTGTTGGCCTCTCACTCAATTGTGCACCACACATAATAATCAAGGGGATTGCAGTCTGGGGAGTTAGGTAGCCAAATGTAAAGGGTGATGTGGTTGCAGATTTTGTCTCACAGTCATGACTGGGTTCTCTTACTTGTGTGGCATGGTGCAGAGTCCTGTTGCCAGATATAGGGTCTTCCAGCAGCTACTATATTTACCCAAGGCAGCACTACCAGCTCAAGGCACTTGTAGGCGTCTGTGTTGAGTCTGAGGTCCTCACCAACAAATTGGGAAGTTTTTTTCTTGTCAGAATGATCAGAGTGAGTTTTCCAAACTGTCATACCTTTGTAATCACCATTGAACTCATCCAAATCTTTTCAAATCCTCTGCACTGTCCTCAGATTGACACCCAAACATTGTGAAATGTTCTTATTGCAGCATCTGGCGCAAATGTCGAGCAGAACAGCATGCTGTTTCCACGATTCTTGCATAGTGAATTGCGTCATGGTGCTCTTTTTCTCACAGACTATGCCCTAATTAACCCTACTAAACTATGCAGTCAATAATATAAAAAAAAAAAAAAATCCGACAATTTACTCATTGCATCATGTACATACATATATATATATATATATATATATATATATATATATATATATATATATATATATATATATATATATATAATGTTAAAATGCAGCTAAAGCATTTTAGCATTTTTACAAATTTTTATACATTTTCTTTCATGATTCAAATGAAATAAAAAGGATTTATTTTACTTATTTTCAAATTATCTTGTATCTGCCTCTCTAAATGCATTCCCCGTATTTTTTTTATGTATTCATTTCTTCAGAAATGTGGCAGCCGGTGGCGAAAGAACCTGATACATTTTGGCACTAAGGAACACTTAAAATCGGTAAAAGAATCCAAGCCAAATACCTGCTCAAGTTTTTCTTTTGCTTGCTTCACTTAACCAATAACAAATCCCTTTTTTCTACTTCTTTCATTTCAGTTAGCCATGCATTCTTATCATATTCTGTTATGAGAAAAAATACTTTGTAAATAAATAAGCTATTCACATTTGATAGTTTCAAGTCTCTACTAGCAATAGCAGATTAAAAATTTGACAAGACCATGATAAAACTCCAAATGGTTTTCAGAAAATAATCCATTTAAATATTCTCAGTCATATTCTACTGGTATCCTCAGTTAAATAAAAAAAAAAAAAATCAAAATCCATTTGTGAACCAGTGGTGTAGCAAGAGGTGGGGACAATCCCCCCCACTGCCATGGTACAGATGGAATGGGGTGCAAAATTTTCTCTGGCCTATAATACTAGTAACATGGTTCTACTAATTACCTAGGGATGCTTATCATGGGTCTGGAAAAATAGGACTTTCCAGTCCCAAATTAAACAATTAGGAAATGAATAAGACAATAGAAACAGAATAAGAAAACTCCCTTGTGTGAAGTTAGGGAACCTACAAAACTGAGGACCTGATATGGAATGTAAGAAGTAAAGTTGCAAAAGAATTTTTGAGTTATGCTTGCTTTCCTTTTTCAACATTTCTCTCTATCTTCCTGCCCTCTTTAGTCTTTGTGCTGTGATTCAGAACCTCACTTCTATCTTTCCATCTACTTTTAAAAAGTTCTATGAGTTTAGTAACCAGATCATATTTGGGATAAAGAATTCATGGCTTTTGAAATTGATTCTGTAAAAATTTCAGAATGCCATTTAACTGACACTCACTGAAGAAGTGACCAATGGAAAATAGAACTGGTGCCCCCTATTTGTCTCGACTTTAGAAACATAAGAAAAATTGTCTGATCTTCCAATGTTTTAAGAGATTAACCATATAGTGTCAACCTGTTGGGGAAAGGGAAAAAACGCCAAACAGTAGCTTCTTAAAGGAAAGACAAAAGCCATATCTTGAGATGCAAAAATGTGGTTTTTGTATTCCAAGTTCTTATTTTGATTTTTTTCCTAAAATAAAAATAATTTCATATAAATTGAAATTTGTGTTTTTTTTTGTTTTTTTTTCTCGCAGGGATTAATTAATTAAAAGAATAATATCAAATATTTTACCTGAACTCATATTTACATATCTTTTAATATATTAAGAAATGGACAAGGTCCGACAATTTATTTATTAAAGACATTTTTTATGTTTAACGTCGTTATTTATAGATACAAGTATTTAAGCAAATGCTCTGTTTATGATAAACAGTATTAAATAACATTTACCGGCCTGAATGTCCGAGAAATTTTCATAGAAAATATTCGTTCTTTGACAGGATTCGAACCTGCATCCTATACGGAACCATCATTTATGCTGACGTGCCTTACCTCTGGGCCACAAAGAACCTTTCGGTAGACAAGGTCGAATTTACTGCTTATAAACTTCAATCTTCCATGAATCTCGTACATTCATAACTGCTCTGGCGTATCAAATGTAAACAAATGACGTCATATATTAAGAAATGGACAATTTATTTATTAAAGACATAATGTCTTTAATAAATAAATTGTCGGACCTTGTCCATTTCTTAATATATGACGTTTTAGATTCAAAGCTTTTTGGTAACACATGAATTAACAAATTAGAATATTTAACTAGCATATACTCAGATGTCCGCCACAGTCAAACTGAAATTGTTGAGCTTTCAAAGACAAAAGAGGTTGTTGTTTCATATATTATAGATTCATGAGCCTACTGTAAAATAGATACCTCTACAGGGTATCCCCAAAATAATAGTCCAAGCCAAAACCATTAGATGCTTGTTGCCAGGTTATCACTCTATCAATTTCAACAACCAAATTCAATATTAATAATTTTTATATGAAATAAAATTGATACAAGTTTAATGCATTTTTATCGATATATATCACTTTGTCAAAAGTCCATGAATGTTGCTGCTGTTAAGGACTCAAAAAACAAAAATAAGTTTATATTTTTTATTGTTTTTACTTTAAATACAGAATGGCAATTAGGAAATTTCTTTAAAACTATCTTCCTTGTATTTTGATTTTAAATACAAAATACAAATGTATAATGAATTTAAACTTATTTGGTGCATGTTATAGTGCCTTTCACTTTCCCTGCCTTTAGTACCCCCCCCCATGTTAATACTTTATTCTTTTAGCCAATTATGTTGATAAAAGAAAATGGGACACAAGACATGCACAGTCTGCAACAAATTGATGAAAGCTTACCTTGCTGAATGTGATGACATCAGTAAGCAAATATTTGTTTCTTTTGATGGTAACAAAGATAAAGTGCAACATTATGAAAATGCTATTTCATTTGAAAAAGGGGAGAAGAAATTAAGAAACTGTTCTCTATCCTGATTAATAAGCAAGAGGACTCAACTTTGTCAGAAACAAATCTACAAAATTGTGTTGCAAATCTAAAAGAGGATAGGATGACCTTGTGATAATGGCTTCATTTAGTTTGATACAACAGTTGTAACATGTGTTAAAAAGTGTTAAAATTGGCGTTTATGAATTTTGACATAAGTTCATTTGCTACCAAAGATTGGCATTCTATGACTGCATTCTGGTTCAAGCAATGCCTTCTGAATGCACAAGGGATCAATTGTTCCTAGTTGGTGTGTTTCAGTCTTCGTAAAAGCAGAATACTATTTATATTGTCTTTTTGGTCTGTGTTTGCAACACAGTAGATTCACTAAATGGAAAAATTTGAAAGTATATAGATCATGAAAATAACTGTCATCATGAGACATTTGCTAATTAGAAAAAGAAAAAAGCTGAACACCAAATTTTTCTCCTAAGTGGCACTGATGAAGAGCTGCAAAATTAATTTCAGCAAGTGAGAAAAAAAAAAAAAAAGAGATCTGAACCACAATGTTGCCAGTTAGTATGCAATATTTAACTTCTCAGAGCCTTGCATTTTGTGGTTATGCTGAGGATATAACCTCAAACAGAAAAAGTTAATGTTGAGAAAATAATAAGCACAAAATTAGAAGGGGATCAAACATCAGTTAGTATTTTTTCTATAGTTGAAGCCATTTAGAATTTCTTTACTTTTTCAACAACTCAAACAAAATGCAGCAGGAGCTTAAAATTTCTGTCAATTAGAATTGCTTTACAGAGTTTAACAATTGAAATTTCTTTTGCTAGTTATGAATAGTCCTTCAAACTGAAATTAATTCTTACATATTTGAGAACCTCATCAACTTAAAAAATAACCTGGCAATATTAAGTATTGAAAGACACATACTTAATAACTTAAATTTTAATAATTTGCTGTGGCAAATATATCATCTGAACTTGATTCATATCTTATACTAATGGTAATATAAAGTAACCATAAATACTTGTATGCAATCTAGTTAAGTATATTGACAATCTTGTGAATAATGAAAATTTACTATTTATAAGCTTTAATATTTTATCAGTCTATTTCATAATCCCTGTTTGCAACAAATGATTGACTTATATAAAAAAATGAGTTTCAAAACTAAGAATATAACAAATTTATTCTGCGTGCCAGTAACCTTATTCTTGTTTTGTAATGCAGATATCTCAAAGTTCTCACCAAATTTCAACAAAAGTTAGTGAAACATTTGGCCACAGGATGCAGAAGAACAGGTTCAATTTTTGGGAGGATCATGTACATTTACCACCCCACCAATGTAGCTGTATGTCCACAACAAAATATCTTTAAAACTTATAAATAAACTTCTACGTAATTTGGTAGAAGGGTGCACTGTGGGTGATAGAATAAGTGATGAGTTTGGGGCAGATCCATAAATTCCTATAGTTACCACTCCTGCAAGTAGTTTTAGTTGTTTAGGTTATGCATAACTAAACAATCAAAACATTTCAGAGATGGTGGTACCAAAAATATCTTTCCTCTCATGTACTTCAGGTAAACTATGAAATGCTAGCATCTGAAACAAATACACCCTGGTTGATTGATCAAAATTTACATTTTTTTTCTTATTAGAGGTTTACAGTTGCTTCTTTAAAGATAAATGTGTATAATCAAATCCCAGCAATCCACTTTTTTTTTTTTTTTTTTTTTTTTTTGAAAATTTAAACACATTAAAACAATCTTGCATTTACCTAACAAATAATTAACTTGCTCTTCAAGTGTATCTTTGTTAAATATTCAACCTGAAGCAAAAGTAAAACACAATCCAAGAAATATAGTTTCTTAATATCATTGAAAATATAATCAAAAGTAGTATCACTCATCACAACCAACAATACTAAAAGAATCTGATCTATATACATTGTAATTCATTGTATAAATTTTTGTGCCCCTGTACAAGTAATAGATTTATTATGTTGAATGATTAATACTGATATATACTTTTTGTTTTAGCTATATTGTGACCAGCATGACAAACTCTGCTTCTAAGTAAAAACTTTTCTTTTTGCCACAAGTTACAAGTTTTGAATCATAGATTTTTCTGTTGTCAATTTATTTTATAAAGTATCTTCATAGAATGTTTTTAATGTGACTTATAATTTTAAAAATGTCCCTTGTCATAGAAAGTCTGATTTATTTTATAGACATGCTACCATTAATGGTATAAATTTGATCAGTATAAGTTCTGAAACAGAGTGCTTTAAAAATGATATAAGTATAACATGAGTAGGAAAAATACAACCCTCTGCAACAAAAATATCTTCTTTATTTGTTGGCACCAAAAAATAAATTTCTTTGACAATATATGACCTGCATTTTAAATGCACCATGAAAAAAAAAATATATATATATATATATATAGAGAGAGAGAGAGAGAGCTTTAGCTACATATTTCAAGAAAATAGTAACTTTACTCATAAGGTTATTGGTATTTATTTAATTTTCTCCAGTTGTGCAATGCATGGAATATAAAACAAAGACTAATAACTACAGTAAGCAGATCATTCTGTTGACTGTTTTCTACTAATATTCTTCTCTCAACAAGAAAACCTTTTCCATATAAAATGAAAATAATATAGTTTACTAGAAAATGATTGTTGACAATTAGCATTGATATATGTACATAATTGAAAATAATCACTCAGTAAAAGCTATCTGCACTCAAGTAGGGATTAGGTGTGTGTCAAAATAGTGTGTACACACGTATATACATTTTATTTTTTTTATATATATATATATATATATATATTATATATATATATATATATATATATATATATATATATATATATATAAATGATATGCATGACTTTTCTTACCCATGAACTCTATATACCAATCTTCTTTCCTCCACCCTAACTTACCTTCCAGGCTGGTCTTCTTCAAATTGGACTGTCAATATTAACATTTTCATCGCCTACAAAATACTAACTCTGAAATTTTATTTCAGCTGAATATATTTGCTTATCCTGCTTTGTCATGGCTATTTCTCCTTTGCAAGTACATATTTGTCTCTAAATCAATTGCTATAAACTTGTGGAGTGGTGCATCTTTGTGTGTGATTGTGTATGTACAAGGCAATTAATATGTGTACAAGGTAAATTGGAACAAATAATGTAAAGAAAAATAGATATTCAATAGAAAAAAATCAATATCTTTTCATTGTACACATGTTCAGTTTAGAAAAAAAAATGTTATTCAATAAAATTGCTCTCAGCCATGTGGGTAGCTTCAGTGTAACCTTGAAAGCAATTATCAAGTTGCTGGTTTGCTTGTGTTTTGATATCACAGATGTAGCAGTCCAGAGGATTCAAATCCAGAAAACTACAATTGCAACATTTGGAGATAAGATGATCATGAAAATTCTTGGTTGGTCCTTCACTGGTAATGGGTCCTATGACAGAGACCTGAATCTTGCTAGAACATTATTATTATTATTATTTATTTGGTTGAATTAACTCTGACATTCTTGAGTCTATCACGCCAATCATAATGCATCAAGGTCATTAGGGTGTCATTCTATGTCATAACATAGTTGGTCAGTGTATGTGGTTGCTGAGCAACCAGCCCGTTTTGCACCATGCCTAGGTGTCCAAAGCAGTATATCACTCACTAGTCCCTGTTTTGCTTGCCAGCAGTGTCCTACAAAACACATTCTGCATAAGATTGTAGAAATATCAGTGATGGGTCCATAGAGCTGTGATTTAGTTGGATGTTATCTCCAAGTATAGCTCTCAGTATCTAAATGTTGTTCAGCCATCCTATCAATCCAGGACTTGACCAAAGTGTCTAACACCTCAATGTAAATGGCCCTGTAGCTGATGTGAAGAAGTGGACTAGCATGAAATAGCTCTTATTGCTGAAGACCATCACAGAAGGTATAAACTTATGCATCACTGTAGATACCTTTATAGGGTCTGTGCAGAACCAATTCCTCCTGTTTACTTTTTTAGCCAGGGTCAAAGTTGTTTAGCAAGTAATTCAATCAGATCACATGGTTCTCTTATTTCTTGTCGAATATGAACTCTACTCTCTTCATTACACAGGGTTTGTACCTGATATTCATGTACCACACATCTAATTCCAACATCTTGAGCTGTTTGGTTATGGTCCTTATCCACTTTCTGGACCTGTTGGATGAACTCTGCCTCCTTATAATGTTTGACCACTTTGAATGTTTTGTTCTCTTAGCCATGAATGATATGTCATACTAAGAAGCCTCCAGCTTATTTCTGATCTTGAACACAAAAGACTTGGCAACTTTCAACGAAGCTGACCATCACTGAGACACTGTGATTGACAGCTAGTGCCAAGAGTATAATGTCTTATTTTCTGTGTCAGATTGGAAGCTGCTACATCAATGTTCTCAACATATCTGAAAGAGAAATGAGAATGTTAAAATTTGGTGCATGATGCATAACATTTCTATTGGGTCATCTTCCATCTTAAAGGTGGGTTCTCAGATACCTGGCACATCCTCATATATAACTCTTAATGTATGTGGTTGAGTATGTTTACATGTTTATGCCATCATTTGACAGTCTCTTTTCATGTGTATATCATCTATGCTCCCTAATGTCTTTTATATGATTGGAGTTCTTGTGCATATATGTATGTAGTTTTCTATGCATATTTGTTGTTCATCTTCAGCATCTTTATTTAGGGTATAATTTCTCATCCGTGTGTTTGTATTTAACTACTGATACTTCACTGATTATGACTGTTTATAACTTAGTATCTGTATAATTTTGGCCTGTGTGCTTGTTGAGATATTTTGTTATTTAAAAAATGTGCTTTCTTTAACACACAATATTTAAAATAAAATTTTCAAAAAGCCTTACATGTATTATCTTAAGGATAAGAATAGCTTATGTTTATAACCTATCCTTACATAATTCTTCAAGTTATAATTTTTCATATATCTTTTTTTAATTCACTATTTCCTATTGTGTAAGATCTGTACATAACATATTTGAATCTCTTTGCATATATAGATAACATGATCTGTATATCAATTCCGTATACATGTTTGTATATTGTCTTGGTGTATTTGCAATTTGTGTGTGTGTGTGTGCACACTCTTCCTTTATTGATTTATCTGTTAATATGATTGTTGATTGTCTGCATTGGTTTGCTTGCTTAGCAATTTTATAGACTTGATTTTCTGTAAATTGGATGCTTTGTCATAATGTAATGGTTAGTAAGCTGGACTTTAATTATTATGACTAATTATTGAGTTCAATTCCCCCATCCCACCCCTTGGATTGAACTCCTTGAAGAATAACTACTTTTTCTATGAATGTTATTGAAACATTTAAGCCTTTCACACTATGTAGATAAATTCCATCTGATCTTAGATAATGAAATTTTGCTGATATTTGTTGGCTTCTTGAACCTCTATTCTTATCTCTCTTTCTCTTTGGTTTATTTAATCATTTCAGTTGTTAGTTTAGTTACCAGGATTTTCACCTTAAGCATAATTAGTTTAATTGAAAAAAACTAGAATTATAAATGGACTCTGAAAATATCTAGAGTCTTCATGTGAGGTTTAAAAAAATATTAGCAGTCAGATGTAGAAAAAAATAGCATCATCTTAACAAATAATATATCCCATTTACATGGAGGATTTATTTTTGTTATATAAATTTATACAAATTTATTGAATTTTTTTTTCTCCAGTGCTGTGATTATTTAAAGTAATTGTCAGTTCAGTTCATACTTAAGTTGTAACACATGGTCACATTTTATATTATTATAGCAGAAGTTTTTACATATTTAGTGAAATAATTCTTTTCTCATTCTAAACTGTTCAGTTTCCACATCAACTATCTAAAATAGATTGCAGAAAATAGACATTCTCATTCTGTTGTATCTCATGCAGAAGACACTAAAATCATCCTCTCTTAACAATTTTGTTTTCAATTTTGTCTCAACATTTGTATTACATTATATTCAGACTTAAATTTTCAAAAGACTGTGTTTGTAATATGAAGCATCCTTTTTGAAAAAGGAACTTTAATATTAAATTCCATGCTACTCATTCACAAAAATATCATTTCTTTTAACTGTTTCACAGCCCCTTTCACATTCGTTTATAGCAAAATACATGGCTTAAAAATAATTAAAACATAATCTCTCATGAAAAATTTAATAACTTCAAAATTAATTACTGAAAATAACCTTTACTAATAATTTATAATTCAGATACCTACCTACCTACCTTTCCTTTTTACATTTTGCTTTCCCCTTCTCATATTCTACAGGATACTTTGCAATTTCTCTTTCTTAGATTTTGTATGAAATAATTCAACAAAAAAGAGGAGAACATAACGAACACAAGTTTTCACTGTTTGTTATTCTTTTTCTTTTTAATTTTTTTTTTTTTATTTCACACTCATTCTATGTCTGTTTCTCTCTCTTTCAGATTGATGAAGGACATGACACAAACTTGTTATCACGTTCCAAAGTGGAAATTATCTCAACAACCGGTCGTGCTGCAGTTGAACATGCAGAGGAATTCGTGCACAAAGTGTGGGAGGCTGGATGGAGGGTAGCCCACCATGGCTCTCTCCCGGACTGGCTAAAAGATAATGAGTATCTCATGAAAGGTCATAGACCCCCGACAAACTCTTTTGCAGCTTGCTTTAAATCTATTTTTCGAATCCACACTGAAACAGGAAATATATGGACACATTTGTTAGGTAAAGTTCTTCACTCTCAACACCATCTGATTTTCTCATCTTGTCTACTGTTTCTCTAGCTTCTCTTATCAAAATATTCATTACCCATAAAAAAAAAAGAAAAATCTCTTTTTACAAAAGCATTACTGATTAGCTTTGTATTTTCAAAAAGCTTAGATAGATGCTTTATTGTAAATAATAATTGATTATAAATATTACAAGCAAATCAACTAAAATAAAACTTAAAAAAAAATTATCATTGTAAAATATATTTCCCAAGTTTATCCCATTTACTTTAATAATTTGAACATATAAATGAAAAACAAAAAAAACAAATGCATGTTATTTTTATCATGATCAAAAAGTAAACTGTACCCATGTGAAAGGATTTATTGTAATTATTGCTACCAGACTTTCTCTCTAATAATTAGTTATCAACTTACTAATGTGAAGTGATAAAAATGAAACTTTTATGGTGTACTGAACCAATGCGCTCTTGATTTCAATTTCCAACTTTGAAAACATTACTGAGTTGGAATCAAACTATAAACTTGGGATACTTTTATTAAACTGCACTATCTCTTAAATTGCTGTGTGTGTGATCTTTTCTGGGTATTCATTTATTTTATTTAAAAGAATTTTCTCATAGCTGACAAGCCTCTTAAATCATTTCTTGATTTCTCATAGTGCTATTGAAAAATAAAAAATGTTTCTAATGTTTTGAATGGATTTATTCATTTTTTTTTCCTGAATTTCTACATTTTTTTCAGTCCCATTGAATATACTCAGCATCAAGATATTCACATTTTTCAAACAAAATCAATGTAAAATGGTTTCTTTTTTCCATATCTGTAGGAAAGGATTATAATTTGGTATGAAAAACTTGCAGTCTTTGGTTTTTTGAAAACAAGAAACTTTGAGATGACATTTCACTTAATTAGGTACATCCACAGATACGTAATACCTAAAAATGAATTTTTAAAAATGAAAAATCTTCCTTGAAGCTTTTATTTTAACTTTAATTTCAAGCTAATAGATTAAATTGAATATTTCCTATAAGCAAAATATTTTGCTGTATTTAAAAACTAATATAAATTGATTGGAAGAAGTTTTCAGTTTGTAATTGCTGACATTTTTAATTTAGTGCCATTTTTAGCCTTCCGTTATTTCAATGTAATTCTCTTTATTAAAAAAAATCTTCCAAAAATAAAATATACTTTTCTGAAACTTTATTTGAGGAATATTAGCTGTATAATTAATCTGATTTAAAACAAATATTATTTACTTTAAGTTTAAAATATTGCAGAAATGCAATTTTTTAACACAGCAGTAGCTGTTTATTTCAGCTGTTGATGTGTTTGATAGCTTGAGGACAGATGGATGTTTATCTAATATTGTTCTATGGGGGTTTTTGACAATAAAAACTAGTTTTATCAAATTTTGGTCTTTTTTTTTTTTATCATCATAGTATGGTCTTTTTTCTGGTCTTTGTTTTTTGCCTACATTTAATTCTTTTAGTGATTATATCAACAAATATATATATGAATATTACTAGAAGTGTAAATAAATATTTTTTCAATTTAATGCATTTTAAATGAAAAATGAATGGTTAAGCTTGTTGAAAATGGTAATCTGCAAGTAAAACCAGAGTTCAGTTCTACATTTGAAAAAGAAAATCGATAAACCTGTAATTTATTTAGGAAGTAATCTTATATAATAATGGCTGGTTGCTTGTTTCCAAGTATAACGATCTGCTAGTCTGGCTGGCTAATCTCTTTTGAAGATGCCTGCTCAGACACTTTTGTATTTCTTCAATATCCACAGAACCAACATGTAGTTTATACTGCAACTATGCTGAATGGACCTTCATTACAGCTTCTAGGGAAGAGCACATAAGCTGACCTGATCAGTAGTTGAACAAGGCCAGTATGCTTAAACCTTTAGTAATAATGACTTTCAAATTCATGTGATCACAACTATTGAAAGTTTCTAAACAATTTCATCTATTCTATAGATAAAGAATGTATAATTACATGTCTACATTCTTATATACTGTATTGCTGTATATGCAAAACAAATGTTCACATAAGTGTCATTGATTTCCCCCAAAAATTCATATCTAATAAATATACATTTATCTCTGTTCTTGATGCATTTAATATAAATAAAATTCCTCCAGCCTCTTCCTCTGTGCCAACACATGACTCACATTTAATTAAGTTACATTGTGTCTAATTGCTCTTTTTTTTTTTTTGCTTTTTCTTTTTTAATTCTAATCCTCATTTTATTTGCTTCTGCAATGTAGTTTTGAGAAAGATATAATCTGCAGTTGCTTTCAACAAACAATGCAATATATATATATATATATATATATATATTTAGTTGGATAGATGTGAGTTTGTAACCCAGGGTCATAAACTCACATCTATCCAACCAAATATGTTAGCTCTATCTCTGATATTGAGCGCTTTCTAATAAGTACCGTGCATATAATATATAAATAATTATATATATATATATATATATACACACACTTTTCACACATATATATATATATATATATATATATATATAGCATTATGAATGCAGTGCTTGAACAGATGCTAGCCAAAGACAAAACAGTTTCTGTCTTTAGTACAGATAATTTTAAAAACTTAAAATTATGAAGGAATAGTGGGTAAAATGTTATCCAGAGATGAACATTTGGGTGGGATTTTAGTCCAGACAGCTGACTTGTGTGTATGCACACAATATATAATGATGACTCAGTAGTGTTATGTAAATAACTCATTTCTATTCTTAGAGGTATTGGTCTTACTACTCGAATGTCTTTGTCTAATGGTGTTTTAAGGAAGGAAAAGATTGCATGTAGACAAAGATAACCATCCTATATTCATAAATTATATACTATGTGTTTGATAAACCTAATAAACACAATCTTGAGATCAGTATCTGGCATATTTTTCTTAATGAACTAAATGTGGAGACATGTCTATTTCACTTTCTAAGTTGTCCTATTTACATTAATATTTGTCATTTTCACTATAATAAAATCCAATTCTAATGACCCTTCACACACACACACACACACACACACACACACACACACACTTGTAAGATTTAATAAAAAAACAACCTGGCCATTTCTGAGTTAATTTTTCAGAGACTTAGAAAATATTAGTATATCTGTTTGGATGCATCTGAAATTTGTTGTTCTGTTTTACACCATTATTTGTTTATCTTTCTAACAATTTATTTTCTCTCTGTTGCAGGCTTCATCGCATTTATAGGTGTAGCAGTTTACTTTCTAACACGACCTTCTGTGGAAATACAATGGCAGGAAAAAGCTGTATTCTCTGCATTTTTTGCCGGTGCCATTCTTTGCCTAGGCTTCTCTTGGATCTTCCACACAGTATATTGTCACTCAGAAAGAGTTGGAAAATTCTTCAATAAGTAAGTCCTCTCTCTCAACTTTCTTACCCAATTATTTGTGTATGTTAAGTATACTAATTCCAAAAACTTCAAAAACTAAAGTCACTCATTTGTATTTTCTGTAACCATATTGGTCTGTATTGTTTCTGATAAAAAGTTTACTCAGTCAGTGTGTGAGCTATCAAAAATACATGTCTGTCCTGATTGTTTGGCATATATTTTGCCAGTATAAGACATTTTAAGTTTTTAAACTTTTCAGAAATGCATATCTCTCATTGACAGAGATGAAATAATAAATGTATGCTTCGCCTTAAAGTATCTTCTTGAAGGTAAAAAGGGAATGTAGGTTTAATCCTTGCCAAGAATTACATTTTCTTTAATAAGATTTTTGATGTTGGTCAGTAGATATCAATTTCACTGTTTGATGGGGGGGGAATGTGGGCTGTAATATTTATAAGAAATAATGTTGGATTAAAAAAAAATCAGTCCATTACTTATATATATATAAATCTCACTTTAAACATTATTTTTAGTGGATACTCATATTTGAGTAGGTGCTCTATTTATTTATTAAACAGTATATTTATTTTTGCCTACTGGCCTGAATGTTCAAGAAATCATATTAAAGAAAAATTTGTGCTCTCTGGCAGGATTTGAACCTGTAACACTCATTGATAGGCCAAAAATCCTAACTCCTGAGTGAAGTTAGCTATGTTGATTTTGTGATGTCTACAGGTTCATACATATCTTGGTTCATTGTGAAATAACAAAAATATGCCAAACATAAGCTATGCTAATACAAGCAGGTGCTGAAAAGCTATCGGCCCAGCCCACTTGCTGAAATCTCACCAATATATTTTTGAAGAGCTTCTTAGATGGGTCTGAAAATTTTTTAGCACCCCTTTGTTCTGTAATGTAAGCACTCAAGCAAGTCTTATCTGAAAAAGGAGAATTATCATTCACAAACCTAAAGCTATTATTCTCCAGCTTCTTTCTCCTTAATAAATCATAGCTTTTAACTGCTATGCTATAATCCATCTAACTCAGTTATCGCCAATTCACTTATAGTTTGAACTTTAAAACAATTCATAAAAATTTATGACCCAAAGATTAGATATGTCATGAAGGATCTTTTCAAATTGATTAACTAACTTCTTTCAAAAATGCCTGCATTTTTTTTTGTGTGTGTGTATATATATATATATATATATATATATATAAAGCTGGATTTATTTTTAAAATTCTTGTAGACTGCAGCAATAATAAAGCATAATACAGAAGAGATTTATACTCCATATTAATTAGCTTGTAGACTTTGACACGCTTACACAAATTACCATTTCCAATTAATTTATGATAATCGAGGCTGTGTAAGTGAATGTAAAGTTGTTCCTGCTAAATTCAGCTAGCAGTCTTGTTTGTTATTCAGTTGAATTTCATTTAACGTCGGTATTCTTTATCTTTATAATATTTTTCTCACCTTATTAAAGGATTATTCATTTCAATTAATGAATTTGATTTGCTTAATTTCAGATTAGATTACTGTGGAATTGCTCTTTTGACAATGGGATCCTTTGTACCTTGGCTATACTACAGTTTTTACTGCCGTCTCGAACCCAAAATTGCCTATCTTATTCTTATATTTGTCTTGGGTATATCTTGTATTGTTGTATCATTATGGGACAAGTTCAGTCAGCCTCAATATAGGGCTGTCCGAGCAGGTAAGCAACCATATTTTCCTCTATGACATTGCATATGTATATATACTCATACACATTAATAAATAATACTTTTTGCTGCTTTTCTTGAAAGATATATAAATAACAGGTGGAGGTGAAAGCAATGTGCTTTAAAGACTGGCTTAAAAGAATACAAAAACTTACCCTCTATTCTTTTGTAAAATACAAATTTTATGTCAATATTTAAAGTTTACTTCAGTTCTAATTTATAAAGTTGGGGTGAGGGGGTCATTAAATTCAACCTTATACAAAAACTGTAATATTAGTTTTAAGAATTTTATTAAAAATATATTTTGAGCTGGAAAAAGGGGAAACTGCATTTTGTATATTTCTGATACAAAATTTACTCTTTAAACTGAAGTTAGTTTAGAGATGATTTGATTCAGTGAAGCTTGGAATAGCAGTGAATTGTGTGATGCAAAGCCTCAGGCAATCTATATGTATGGATGTAAATGGATTTTGAATCAATGATAGAGATAGGATGAATTGAGGTAGTGAGATATATATACTTAATTGAAGTTTTTTTTGTTTGTTTTTTTTTTCTTTAGGCAATATATATTCAGTATTGTATATGAAAAACGATTATATAAATATCGTTTTGATATTTACTCAGATGTACACTCTCTTTGAAGTGAAATAAAATGCCTAGAGGAGTATTTTCATAAATGTTATGAAAAATATGATCAGTTTAAAAACACCAAAAAAAAAAATCACCCACACCTTAAAGCAAATGAAGTTATGGTATCATTTTTATACAAATATTGATAACTAGTTTATAAATAAAATGAATTATTATAGTCCAGTACAGTTCTTTTTATTAGTCTTTTGGGGGAAATCAAAGTATAATTTCTAATATTGGTTTTATGGAAACCTAACAATTTTAAAACTTTGATTTAAAATGTCCAAAGTGCAAAAAAAAAAAATCTTACATGTATATTTATGGTTTTAATAAAATTATATCAGGTCTCAGAGTTCAAGGTTCCTGGTCACAGAGGTCAAGGTAGGCCTAGGAAGACATGGAAGGACTGCATTGGGAGGGATGTACCGGAGTGTGGCCTTGCCCACATTAGCTTGACAGGAATGCTTGGAAAGAAGTAGTGAGAGCTAGCCAACTGCTGCCTACCCCAGTCACTGGGAAACCCACAGTAGTATAATCAATACTCTGGACCATAACTTGACTTTAAGTTCCCAACTTTAATTTAAAATTTAGGGTCTGTTTTTCTTTAAAGTATCAGAAATTTATTTAATTAAAAAAAATAATTTGTTATAATTCCCTGTTATAATTTTTAAGACTTCAAGATATTCAGATTAAAAAAAAAAAAAAAATTTCAAATAAAACTGTTTCAATAATTCAGACCTGTCTTTTGTATTTGTAAGTTTTTAAATTTATCCAAAGCATAAATAATTGAAAAAAGTACAGAATTTTGAAATCTGTCATGCTTAGTTATATCTCAATTTACTTTTGCCTTTTCAGATGATACTTGTAATAACTTAAATGTAATGTATTTTTTATGTAAATATAAAAACAAATTTCAAAGTTCATTAAATGTTATAGTAATTTACTTATTTATAATTTTTAATATCTTCATATATTTTACCCATGCAGTCAAATCTTACATGAACATCAAGTGAGGTATCTCTAGACTACAATTTAATTAAAAACAAAAACATTCCTATAAAGTTAGCTTAATTTAATTTGTATACTAATAACTGTAGCTTAACTCATTCTGGCTATAGATTTACATTTAGCAGTAATTATCACCAAGATACATGTTTGGAAGCACATAATTAAAATACAAAATCCTGTTGAATCCTGAATACAAACTACAAATATACAATATCTTTTTTAGATTACAACTTAACCATAAATTGGATCTTTGAAATGTTAAAAAAAAATTTTCAACCCAGCAAAAGAGTTAATGTTAACTGCTAATGCCAGTGACTGTGATATAGCCACAATATTGTTGCAGGAGGATCACCCTGTAATATATTTATCCAAAAAACTAACATCAGTGGCAGCAAATTATTTTAATATTGAGAAGGAGGCATTGGCAATTGTGTGGAGGATGGAAAGAGCTAGAAATTTTTTGCTGGGAAGAAAATTTCTATTAAAATCTGATAAGCCTTTGGAATTTATATTCAGCCCCAGAAGAAAGTTGCCAAAGTTCATATCTGCTAGGATATTAAGATGAGCAATTAAGCTTATGGCATTCAACTTTGATATTGTATATATTAAAGGAAGTACTATCCCCACATGTGGATGCATTATCTCAGTTAAATTTTGAGAGTAAAAACGTTGAAACAAGTGAAAATTGTAAGGATAGGATTTTGTACTGAACAGAAACTGACGTATTGCCCTTAAATTGGCTTAGGTTGGGAACTAGGCAGGATTCAGTGTTAAATAGAATTATGGATAAAATAGAAGAAATACATTGAGTAATTGCTCTATGGCTGAGAGGCTTTATAAAGAGTCAAGACACAAATTAACAATAGAAAAAGGAATTACATGTAATAGAGATATCATAGTATCTCCACAGTCTCTGAGAAAAGAAGTAATTAAAGCCGTGCTCAATGATATAAATGAATATATAGGCTATGCAAATGGGGTTAAAGTTGTAAGCATGGTGCCCAGGCTATTTGAGAGACATGGAAGAGTATGTTAAAAAATGCCCAAAATGTGTAGAAATAAAGAAATTTAGGCAAACTAAAATTCATTCTTGGCCAAAGGAAATGGAGCCATGGACACATGTACATATAGATCATGCCTACATTAAAAGTATAAGACTATTTCTCATATTAGTTGACTCGTATTTAGGTTAGCTTGAAGTTATTACAGTTGAGGATAGAAAAGCCACTACTGTGAAGCAGGTGTTAAGGTGTTTTCAAGAAATGGACTTCCAAAAACCTTGGTCACCAACAATGCACCTGTGTTTTGTGAAGAAAGTTTATGTTCATGGTTAAAACATATTGACTGCATTCCATATAAAACAACACCTTACCACCTACAGTCAAATGGAATTGCAGAGTGAATGGTTCAAATAGGATTAAAAGCATTCTCTCCAGTAGATTGTGACATAGAGAGTTATTTATCCAAACTACTAAAGTTAATAGAGCTCTTCTGCATGCAAGCAGAAGACAAAGCTCATCTGCATTGATGGGAAGATAAATAAGAGTTCCGATTAACATGTCATTTGCAACAAATGAAAGTGTGTGGTAAAGAAAGGACAAGGATTCAAGTCCTGAAAAGGCAAATTTTATGGTGCAAAAGGGATTTAACACAGCAGTGTTAACAAAGAAGGGACAGGGCATACTGGCTCACAAAGACTAATTTAGAACCATAAGAGAGCATAAAGTTATGGAAAAGGAAAAGTAAGCAAAAGAACAGGCAACACAAGAAAGGATGAATGAATCCGATATTGAGTGATCAAGAAGACCACCAGAGAAAGTGAAGAACAGGTGTGGGAGGAGAAAATGAGTGTATCCAGTAGTAGGGAGGAACAATCTGGGGATAAGAGTGACTGGATGATTCAAATGAGGAGAATTAGTTAAGACCTAGATCTTCCATAAAAAGAAATAAAGAGACTCACTATGAGAGATGGATTATGTCTCCCAGGGTTGTACGTAGAAGTCAAAGATCAACTACAGGTATAAAAGCCTCTTAGGTTCAGGGAGGTATAGTAATATGGAAGTAAGGTACTGTATAAAAAACAGTATTGCTATACCTATATCTGTCAGAGAGAATACCTATTGTAGCAACTACAAAACTTAAAAATTTGTTACATGAAATGAATCATTGGTCAATTTTTCAAATAAATGCTTATTATAAAGCTTAAAGCTCATTTATCTTCAAACTAAAAAAAACTGAAATTAATAAAAATACATTTATTGGAACTAGTGAAAAAATACTTTCTGGTCTGTGGAAATGGTCCCCCCTGCATTTCCCCTTCTAATAGCGATTTGCAGCCTGAATTTGTTTATTGTTCTATAGTCAATATTTCTGGTACACTTCATATAGTATTATCAATTGAGTGTGATATTATATCTAAGTCCTATTTAAAGGCAGATGTTAACGCCACTTGTTTAATATCATTCAACAAAGGCCATAAAAAACAATCAATTCTGCCTTTGGTTAGAACTTAAAATTTTTATTACAGACCTGGGCAGAGATGTAATATCAATGACTTAGTAATTATAAAAGTTGGAGTTATAATATATTGCAGCCTATTGACCTTGGTGCTCAAAAATGAAGGTTGTTTGAAGTGGTTTTTCTTTATCACAAATGCTAGAGATGTTTGAATACTCATTGAGTGCTTTTTCTTCCTTTGTCCCTTAGAGGTGGAAATAAAGTTCTATTAAAAATTATATCATTGTAATGTCTGTTCCCTTCCTCACACAATTTTTAACTTTATCGCCATACATTACAAGGAATTTGGGATCTTTTTTGGCCTGAAAATGTAACAATTTCATTTTAATCTCTGAAATAGGACCTAATCCCAAGAATTGGTAAACAAATAATCATCAGGGATGGGTGGCTGCTTACATTTACACCGTTAGGTGATTGTCAGCTTTGAGAATACAGAAAAGCACCTATCATTGAAATCATGACATAATTTAAAGAGACATGGAATAAAAAGTAATCATCATACATGAAACAGAATTGTATCTTTATAAAGAGAAAAAATTAAATTTTGTTTACAGACTAATTTCACCAAAATAGCCTAAAAAATAAACAAGATGTTATCTGTTGAAATTGAAGGAAATTTCACTAGTTTGGCACGTTTTCGCAATATAAACTAAGGCAGCTTGGGATACCTAAAATCAAAATCAGATAATTTCTCAATGTAATAATTTCCAAGCAAAATGTATATGATTGATAAGTGAGAAATTGCTCATATTTTTGTCTATCTTTTGCTTGATTTCACCAATTATTTTTCTCTCACTCTGTTTTAGGTGTCTTCATTGGTCTGGGTTTAAGTGGAATCATTCCTGCCATGCACTATGTTATAACCGATGGCTTCTATCATGCCATTAACTGTGCCTCCCTTGGATGGCTTGCACTCATGGCACTTTTGTACATATCAGGGGCTATCATTTATGCAGTACGCATCCCAGAACGATTATTTCCTGGCAAATTTGATATCTGGGTAAGTTAATATTTCAATCAAATCACCTTTTTTCCAACTTTCCAAGCAAAAAAGTTTGTATTACTGTCTTAATTGCAAATTTCTTAGAAACATTTTATCTTGCTAGCCATTATTCTTTTGACATTGCAGACTTCAGTGATCTAAGTCTAGTTATTTATTGTCTGCTGTTTAAAAATTAATCAAATGCTTAGAATATATTTTTTTATTTAAAAAAGTAAATGTTTATATGATTTGTAGAAGAAAAACATTATCAATATTTATCAATCACAATATCCTTCTTTTTAATTTCAATTCTCTACTTCAACATTGCCTTTTCGCTCATTTTTTTATCCCCAAAATTTATTTACTTTAATGGGGAAAAAGTAAAAAGTTGAAGAATAGGGAGATGTAAATTCTGAATAGAAAAATAAAAATTAAAAATAAAGATTAGTTTATTTTTAATCATTCAAGTTTTTCTATAACTTATATTTTCCATCTCTTTCCAATATTTCATTAGGTTTATTCACAAGTAAAAGAAAATTGATTAATAATGCATATTTCAGGGCTGTAGCAGAGACAAATGTGGGGATTGCACTTAAAAAAATTTAGAATTTAGCCTTAAGTTATCAAAGGCTGTCAACATGGTTAGTGGCAAGAACATTTAAAAATTTCCAGTACCTCCTTGCTTTAGTAGTTTTTTTTTTTTTTTTTTTTTTTTTTTTTTTCTTTTCTTGTATTTCTTTTGTTAAAAAAAAATTGTGTAATAAATAAATACTGCAATTAGTAAAATTTGGGGAGAACCCTGCTATGGCCCTGTATTTATACACTTATATTCAATTTTTACATTCCTCACTAATCTCTTTTTTTTTCTTTTCTTTTCTTTTCTCTTTTTTTTTTTTTTTTTTTTTTTTTTTTTTTTTTACCTCTCTTCAGTTCCAAAGCCATCAAATCTTTCATGTATTTGTGGTGGCAGCTGCGTTTGTTCATTACCACGGCATAACAGCAATTGCCAACTACAGACTGACCCTGGGTGATTGTCTGGAGACGAAGGATTCCTGAAAGCAACGGCTGTTATGTCACTGGACAGCACCTACATCTGCACTCCTCCGTCTATTAACAGCTACTAATATCACCATTATGACTACTACTACTATTACTGACACTAGAACTCCAATTTTGACCAGTGCAGTGACAAATTAACAAAATTAACTTGGCAACCAACTTGATTGGGAAGGCTGTTGCTAATCACCACTGCTGGCATTGCTGTCAGTGGTCTCAGCTCTACTGCTACTGCAGCAGAATTTCTTTCTTGAGCAACCGTGGGATTCTTTAAAAATAACTTATAAATGAAACTATAAATAAAAAGGGAAGAAAGGAAGGAAATAAAAGATGAAGAAAAAATAAATGCAAAAAGACAAAAGCAGTCTATTACAAAATCGTCTTTATTTAAATTTTTGTTTTGCTTTTGTTAAACTTTAAGAAAAGAGAACATTTTTCCACAAAAACTTTTATTTTCATTATTATTATTATTATTAATTTATCATTTCACACTTAAATATTTTGTTGGATTATATTTAGGGATCTATTGACATGTCTAAATAGTGCTCTAATATTATTCCCGGCAATTTTGCTGCATTAAATTATTTCTTTTTAAAAAGAAAAAAAAATTATCCCTATTCAATGAAAGAATCAAGAGTGAAAAAAATGAAATAGATTGTGATACATATATATTACTGTTATCTCCTCTATCCCTCTTTTTTTTTTTTTTTTTGAAATCAAAAATAGACAAGTCTTTATTTGTCCCTAATTTTACCCAATATTGAAGGTACGGAAAGTAAAATAATCATTAAAAGTAGATGAAAGGATGTCCAGGTAACAGCAAGTAACATCAAGAATGGATGGAAAGAAAGAAAGCAGAAATATATGAAAAATAACTATTAAATAGATACAGAGAAAAGCTATGCTCTGCAAATGAACCATCAGACAACATTGGAACTAAACTCACAGAAAATGTAGTGGCTCTTCTTCCTTCTTTCTAAACAGCAGATGTGTGCATCTGTTCAAAGAGGATGGGCATAATCTCCAAAAAGATACTTGCAGGTAATCAATATTTATTTAACAAATAAAAGTGAATTTTATCAATATTTAATTTTATTTTTTCATGTGCTCGGAACAATATTTAAGACAATGTAAAAAAAAAAAAAATATTTAAATATTAATAAAATTTACTTCTATTTTTTGTCAATTAAATATTGGAAACCTACATGTTTTTCAGATTGAGTGTCATCTTAGTGAAAATTTGTCTGATAGAAACGTTTTTTTTATGTAAATGTATCTCTGCATGTTCCATGTATCTATATCTCCACATATATGAATGTGTGTCTATGCACTCACATATATATTTGTGTAGATATGTCTACATGCAGCTGTAATTTGATTTGTTTGTGCCCAAGCACATTCAAGTATTAATGTTTACACATTTATATGTGTAGCAGAAATATATTTATGTATTCATGTAAAGGTGTGTTTTATATGTGTTTGTGTTTACATATTTGTATGTGTACGTGTGTACTTACCTATACAAGTATGTTTACACATGTATGCACATATTTTCAAATTTGTGTGTGTATATGTATTAAAAGCATGTGTGTACATAGTCATCTATAGAGGTGTGATATAAAAGTTTGCATATGTGCTGTATGTATTTCTATATGGGAGTATTTGTTACATGTTTGTGTATGTATGCACATCCATAAACATGCTATTGCAAATGTATATGCAATGTATATTTATATAAGTAATGTGTATTTACATGTATATGCAACTTTGTGTCTTGGGTACATTACTTTGCATATAAATGTTTGAAAATATGTTAGCTCAAAGTTTTTCTAAAGGTGCATATATATATATATATATATATATATATATATTCACTTGACTGTGTGTGTAAAATATCTTTCAAAAGTCTTTTTTTTTTTCTCCCCCCTCTCATAAGTAATAATCTTAAAAATCTACTTGTTTTCATTCCATAATTTAATGTGAATTTTTTCTTTTTTTGATTTGGGGAACATTAATTTTAACTTAATATGTTTCTTGATAGTATTTTCAACCTTTGGGTATATGGGTTTAAATTATTTTTCCCATTTGGTTACTTATAGATTTTCTTAATACGGGATGTTTTATCTCTACTTATACTTGAGCTTAATGTAGTTGATTAAGCAAATTCAATACCCTTCAACATGTCTGTGAGCAATTTTTGAAGGATCTCTTCTTTACATATCTTCTCCATCTATCTTCATATTGCCTGGACATGTATTGACACTTGCAGCCTGTTAGTTCTTAATGATATGCTAAGCAAATCTCACATCCATTGCCTGTTACTTCTGGCAGCTGTTGTTATAAATGAACATGATCTCTTATACATTCCATATCTTCCCTTTCAGAACTACTCAATAAACAATTCTTCTCTTCCTCAGTTAGGCTCAACACCTCGTATCTGCTTAGAAATATGTGCTGTATACAACCAAAACCACTGTTACTACTACTACTGTTGTCAGCATTGGTGTTTGTGAGTTTCTTGTTCAAACAAGTAATCACTTTACACCATATAAACTACTGGATGTGTGCATGAGTTGTAGTGCTATGTCTTATGCATACACAGGCATGTGAGCGTGTGTATGGATAAAATGACATATATACATATATGCATATGTGCATCTACGTATATATGAAACTTTATATGTGCAGGCACAGGTTTGAGTCTGTGGGTGTGTGCGCACACACTAATATATATATATATATATATATATATATATATATATATATATATATGCATGCACATCCTTCCATATGTATGTATACATTTACCATTGAAATTTTGAGTATTGTCTGCATGAGTATCCATGCAGTTTGTGTTCTGTGTTAAAACACATTCCTCCAGTTATTAAAAATTACATTTTTGCCCTTCCCCTTTGAAATACTCGGTACCTTTCTTTCTCTCGTTTTTTTCCCTTAAGATCTATAAAATTCTTTAGTTGGAGGATGGGTGCCTCAGTAATACTTGGATATTGTTGGAGCACCTTCCCATATTGGTTGCTCATCATTGACTATTTCCAAAGTTTTTTTTTTTTTTTTGTTTTACATTACCTGAGAATAATAAACAGGCAAAATATTTGGTCATATTGCTTCCCTTTTTTGAGAAAAAAACTGATACAATGTGACGCATATAGAGATTGATGACTCAGTAAATAATCACCACTTCTGGTGATTGGTTATTTATCATATCCTATTAGTTTAATGCCTGATATTACCCCTTTTCTGGAATTTCATCTTCTATTCCATTTGGAACTATTTAATCATTAATTTGCTATTATCTATTGCCAGAGCTAAAGAATTTGCTCTGATTTTGAGATGAGTTAATAAATCTCACTTATATAGTACTGTGGATTTAAATGACACACCTTGAGACTTAAAATCTAATACTCTAACCACTGAGGGTACATTCAGATATACACTTACTTTGGAAGTATACATGAAACAACACTCAAACCATGTAATATATATATATATATATATATATATATATATATATATAATATAAATTAATGTAAGTTCAGAAATATTTGGTAATGCCTTTCATCTTTGAGTAGTCATAGGTAAGCAGATTTGTAACAAAGAAATAGACAAATATAAATAGGTATAACCCATCCATTTCACTATATTTCATTTTGGCTCAAGATTATGCCACATGATACATAATGTAGACTGTGCACTAATCATGTTGACCAATCTTTTTGAAAACTGGGTGATGGCTACAACATAACATTACAAAATTGATACTTTCCCAATACAGAGATGTAGGTCATTCAGGTACATCTTACGTTGGTCTGTTTTCTTACTAATAACAATAACCAACTGTGGAGAAAATGAAATGTATATTCTGTGTGTTTTGAAGAGATTATAAAATGTTCAATTAATGTTCAAGGCTGTGAAAGATGTGCCTGGATGGTAAATGAAAGTATAGTTTTTAAATGTTTTGAAAAAAATAGCCATAGATTGCTGTTTTGGTTGGCATATAAATACATACTGCATAGCATTCCTGGTCAATTTATGGGCACGTGTTTTTGTATGTGAGGTCCAGTTATAAATTGTAATGTTTGAGCTGGAATGATATTCTCTTTCCAGCTTGAGAAAAACATTGTCTTTCTATTTGGCTATCTAATATTTGTAGTAGGTCTCTCAGTTAGTAAATACACATTGAGGGAACCTTGATGAATATGTAGTTTTAGCCATGCATAAATATTGTGATGTTTATAATCAGTATGCAATGTGTATAAACTTACATATTTATACAAATATATCAATACATTTTAAATTGTGTAAGCACAAATATATGAAAATAACAGTTTATAAATATGTATGTACAATTATATAGTTTTTGTAACTATAAGGATACACATATTAGGAAATATAGGTAGTTTGGTAGAGCATTAGACCAGAGTTCACAATAATCTGTGTTTCAGTACTCAGTGTGTCCTTTAATCTTATGATAGAATGCACTGGCAAACTACAGTTGCAATGTGCCCAAGGAGAATCATGGAAATGCACAGCTTTGTCTGAAAGGAAGGAATCCTGTGAAAGACAATGATACCATGACAGTTCAACTAAAAGATCCTTTTATCAATTGCTGGCTTCCCACATTTTACATATCTTATATTTACACACATTTCTACAAACACATACATGCACACGCATACTACAAATGTAATATATAATAGGCATATTATGAGTAAACAGTTAAAAACATACACACTCATAATTATATACACAAATACACAGAATTTTTGAAAGGAAACCTGTGATCCATTAAATGTTTTTGATTCTATCAGAACATTATGATTTTCCTTTTTCTTTTTTTTTTTCTTCTTTTTTTTTTTTTCTTTATTGAAATTCTGTATTAAACTTTTGTATCTATTTGTCTATTTAACTATTTTGTGTATCACCATTGACTTTCTTGGCCTCATCTGTTTTATGATCTCTCTCACCCTTGTGTATATATG